TGTTGTGTGTGCGTGTGTGTGTGTGTGTGTGTGTGTGTGTGTGTGTGTGTGTGTGTGTGTGTGTGTGTGTGTGTGTGTGTGTGTGTGTGTGTGGCTGGCTGAGAAGCAAAGTCTTTTTTTGGTGTGTGCCGAGGTGTCACTGCTAGCTCGCTAACAGGATGTGGCAAGGCGAGAGAGTGCAAGCGAGGCGGTGGATTGAAGCGGGGATTTTCTCTCGCACGTCTTCTCGTATTTCCGATGTCGCCTTCATGTTGTGCTCGGCTCATTGCCAGCATGAACAACAGAAAAAAAAAAAAAAAAAAAGCACCCGAGAGGCCCAATTTCAAGAGAAGAGCCCTAACAAGATAGAGAGCATTAAGGAGAAGAAGCCCAGTGCTGGCTCATTTTGGACACTTCTTTCGGTGTAATTCGAGGCAATACAAAACTCTCATTAAAAGCTGAGTTTCCCCGTTTTATGGGGAGACTCCAACTCGAGCACTGCCCAGCCCACGTGCACTGATTCACACTACTCAGTCGAGTATACGAGTTTTCAATTTGCTTTAAGGCTTGATTGGCAGATTGTCCTGTGTTTTTTCGCCAATTGCTTCTTGGGACTTTTTTGTGGGTCTCTATGATCGACCTGCCGACCAAATTTCATGTTGCCAAGCTGAACAGGCTTTGGGAGCTGAATTTTCAAATCATTCAGGCAGGGGCTAGAATGGGGAAAACCCTCAAAAGGGTGGCTTATGGGGCCTAAATCAGTACATGTTGCTATATGAGGGAAACTCAATTTGTTTTCCTTCCTCGGCCATGAGTCCTAATTTAGTCGCACATTCTGGCCTCCCCCCCCATTCATGGCAGTGAGAACACGGTAACCTTTGGCAAGCCGCAAGCTGTCTGCTTGGGTGAAGATAAGAGGACGCCATAGTCAACATGTGTGCCCTTTAAAAGGGAAAAAGATGCAGAGAGCTAGCCAGAATACATATCTTTTATTTGTCAGCCAGAGAAAATACTGTGATACTGAAGAAGAGCAGCGAGAAACACCAAAAATAAATGTCTGTCGTATTGTAACGCCAGTGGTTGACGGGGCGTGAAAGGCGGAACGTCAAACAAAACGACAACCAAAAAAAAAACAAAACAAAACGAGCAGCTTCACTGATTATCCGCCAACCACAGATGTGCCACCATTAGCTGTCAGGTGGTTGTCAACAAAGTACGTCATTTTGACTTCTCATCCTTGCTCAGCTCCAGTACTGAAGTGTGTGGCAGGATCCTACTTTGCTCATTTCTATTTTTCTAATGGAAAAAAGGCAGGTGGCGCTCTATATCCGAAGTCGGCTACCTTGAAGAAAAATATCAAAGAGGCAAATGGCGAGGTCTCACGGGCGCAAAAATGCACAAAATGATCCCAAAAAGATGCAAAGCTTTTGAAGATGTGACAAAGGCGGTGTGGGAAGGCAGCTTGTACCCTCTCGGCTTTTTTATTTTATTTTTTTCTGTGTGAGCCGGGAAAACACACACACGCGCCCATCAGACGGGTTCACAGACACGCGGGGGGAACGCCACAACGTCATGCACATAGACATTTTTCATATTTCAGAATGTGACTCGGAGATAAGCGTGTGACGGGCTATTTTTCATTGGGAGGAATTGGCAAAGCCAGCTGCGCACCGAGCGTGAGACCACACGATCTTTCAAAACAAACCCATTTCTGTAGAAAGTGCCTGTGAATTAATTGAAAATGTTGGTCAACTTGGAAAATGAATCCCGATTTGGGGATTTTCCAGGGGAAAACTACGGCCAACTCGGAATTTTTGGAGTGTCACAATAAGAAAGACCGAACGGAACCTTTCGAATATATTTGAACCGCAATTTTAAAATGTTGGAATTCCGATAAAATTCGGAATTTGAGATTGTGAAATTGTTGTCATTTCCTGGACGCTTTGGACCTTTTCAAGTCGAAATGTGAATCGGCGCTCACACCTTGGAGCTGTCGGGTTTGTCACCACTCAGGAAGGGAAGCTCCTCAGCACCGCCCCCTAGCGTCAAGACCTGACGGTTCAGGTCCAGGCAGCACTGCAGAAGGCGAGTATGAGCGCGTGAGTTCTAATACCTGCATCTCTTTCTTGTGTATTTGTCTCAGTTGAAGCGTCATCTCGCTTACCTTGAATTGGAGCAGCGTGTGCAGGCCGAGGCTCAGCTCGCACGTGTCGTCCTCTGAGAGGTCAAAGATGCACGGGGGTTTGAAGATCTTGAACGATATGTTTTCTGAATGTTTTTAGTGCCGGTACCTTGGAGCAAAGCAGAGCACCGGATCGTCCTCGAGCCCAGCTGAAGCCTGAGGCCGCTCACAGAGCCGCTTCGGTCCCGGCCGGTCGCCAAGAGGCTGTGAGAACGGAAGAACGTCATCGTCGTCACAAAGTTCGACGGGTGAGAAACCGCACGTCCATCCCACGAAATGTATTTCAATTCAATGACAATCCGAGTCATGAGGAACGACAAGCTACTGTTAGTGTTCCTACATTTATGACAATATTTGACTGGAATTGTATGAACATTGATTTCACATCAAAATGTGATCAATGAAGTACTGTATATTATTATTTGAATCATGTTTCGAGGCAGATTCGGTTGTTAAGCATTAGCACGTGCTCATTTGCCGGTTGGTGTGCACTGCTGCCACCTACAGGCCTGGAGTGAAGCACTGCCAAGCCTAACTTGTTATTTATTTATTTGTTTATTTGAAAGATGTTTCGTCTTTTCCATTGGGATGTGTTTCAATGCTTCTCACTGTAGCATGAAGCGTCATGTTTAAATTTGACACTTGGATCTGCGTGAAGTGGTAAATGAAAAGCAAAAACCAGAAGCTTGCGTGGTCATGTCCTTACCCGAGCCTTTGGCAGCACGATGCAGAGATGTGGTTGTGCACGCTGTTGGTGTTGAAAGAAACCTTCACTTCGCTTTCGCAGCACTGCAGAGAGGGCACAAAACGGAGCGCGGTGTTGTCAAAGCGCAAAACGGATGCCGCCTTTGTGCTGACTCTGTTGGAAAACTTTGACCTCATCGGCAATTAGTCGTTCATCATCTCTCATGAATGCAGTTGACCATCAAGTTCATCGCTGCGTTGTCCAATATTACCCCGGGCCCGTTCAGCCAGGGCTCACCCGCTCACTGGCTTTCATCCCTATTATCCTTATTCAATGATAGCACTTCAATCACACCCCCCACCTCAAAAGAAAAAAAAATATAGAGCACCTTATCATCAACACCGCAAAGGCTTTGTTGTTGTTTGTCTCGGTGCTGAAATCTCGCACTCTTTTCTCGCAGTGAGGTTTAAAAATGGATATCGGATGAGTAACCAAGCAGCTAGAGCACTTGTAAATGATGCGTCTGAGCAAAGTGCAAAGAAATATGCCGGATAGTGCAGGAAGAAAAAAACAAACAAAAAACTTCTGTGCACATTTTGGTTGTGACACAAAAGGTGTGATTACGACACCTTGCAGTGAACGCGCAGAGCTGTGAGGCGCGTCATTTCGGATGCCGCCGCCGCGTCGCCGCCACCGTCGGCGTCCGATTGAAGACTCTTGTCGCTCTCCTCGGCCGAGGAGTCATCGGCGCTCTCGTCGTCGCCGTCCGCCGGCCCGTCCTTGCCGCCGTTGTCGGCCAGCGGCGAGCGAACGTGGGCGGCGGGGTCTCGGGCCTCGCCCCGCAGTCGCGGGATGTTGCCCTCCAGGAGACGGCGCTGCACAACGCTGTGGGGTTGCTATGGAAATAAGAGTGTCTCAGTGTGATGCTGTCACGGATGTAATCAAGTCTTCTCATGTCTGGCCGTGTCTCCTATTGCCTTTCAGCATCCATCTGGGAAGAAACTCAGCTCGACGCCGTCGTTGCACCAGGGAGTCGCATTTGGCCGCCGTGTGACGGTAAGATGAGGAAGAGAGTACATTGTCTGCTTGGCTGAGCACCAAAATGCTTTCCCCGCCGCTTCAATTTTATTCCTTCGCTCTCCATATTTGAGGCCATTGTCAGTCCCTTGATGATTTAATCCCCTCGTAACTTGCTATTCACTTTTAAATCTGTCTTTTCATCTCTTTATAGAGTGATACGAAATCCTGCATGTGCAGTACCCCCCCCAGTCAAATCGAATTTGCTCTGAAAGCTAATCGCTAACTAACTAGCATCTAGTTACAGATAACCACCTGCTGATTGTCTTCTTGCTAGACACTTGCCAGCCAGAATAACAAGAATAATTCAAGCTCGCTCATATTTTTACAGCGCCTTTCAAGTAGCCCAAGCACATCTAATAGAGGCTAAACTGTCACTGCGCTCTGGTTTAAAGGTTTTTCGAGCACCAGCCAGCAATGGTTTAAGTTAGCATTCCGAACAAGAAGTAGTCAAGCAAATGTCATCTCTCAGACTACCGTACTTGAGAAATACCGTGAGCGCGGTATTCTGCTTGTGTTTCGAGGCTAATCGGCGCTTGCATCGGCTTTCAGCCAGTCACGTAACCTTTCTACCCTCCTTTCGGCTCCCTATGGCGACAAGCAGGAGGCTCCCGACGGCGGCTTTACATCTGCCGCCTACAGACCGCTATGGAATTAATACCGCACATCATTTGTCACTGTTGTGTATTGTACCTAATAAAGTGGCGCGACTACGATCTGCCTGCGAGCTGCTTGCCTCCTAACGTGATTTGTGACAGGGTTGCAAACCCCCCGTCCCCTCGGAGCACAAACAGACGACGATGGAGCCCCAAATTGAATTGCGTTCATAAATTGAATTTATCCCAACTGTCTGCTTCCTTGCACAGAGGAAACACCTCGAAAGAGAATATCACCAGTGGCTAGCTTCTATTTCCCTTTTAGCAAGTGAATAGCTGCGAACCGCTAGTTCACAATTACCGTGTTGTTGTCTGGTTTGCGATTTGCTTTTGACAAGTGAAAAGCTGCTAGCAGTTATTTGGCTTTTGCTAGCTGTCGATGCGTTTGTGGTTGACCTTTGACAGGTTGCTAGCAGTTATTCATCTACTGACTAGTCGTTTGCTGATACTGTACTTAAATGTTGACAAGTTAGTTTATACCAAACGACGGGGATGTTTAAGCATCATCTGTTTGCACTTCACTGTTGTTGTTGGGGTTGTCTAAGTCGGTTATTTTTAGCTGCCTTTCTTCCCACGTGACACACACTCACACAAACTGATGCTTAGCACCGTTAATTGTCCTGCGGCTAATAGTAATAATAATAACGCAGGGTACGTTTAAGATGTCTATATTTTGGGAGCATCAGATTTCCTGAGTGTGTGCTTGACTTTGAAGTGCTGCTCTGCTCTGCCTGCTGTGGGGGGAACCTTACATTTGGAGATGAATATAAAACACCTGCTGCAGGATTAAGTCAACTCTGCACCATCTGCCCATGTGCGGCACATCTACTGGACACCATGTTCCCTTCAATTCACGGTGGGCAGCCGTCGAGCAGCACCGTGGCTCGGGGGTTACACGTTGCCCTAGAAGTGGCCGATGCAACCCATCCTGTAAAATACCAAATGGTTTCTAATTTGGCAAACGGGTTACATCCTGCATCGGTCACGAGTCAATGTCAGGGCACGTCGAGACAAACAATGGATTGGTCACATCATCAACCAACATTTAACTGCGATGCCATTTCCTTGTTATGCCGTCACAATGGGGAAAAGTATGGACAGGAAACTATTGACGGTATATTATCACTTACATAAGTGGATTGATACAAAATATATTTATAGATGGTCTGGATCCATTTTGATGGCCAAATGTGATGTTTTGTGCACAAAATGGCGGCCTATGTGGAGCTCGTGTGTTTGTGTCACCGGACTCAGATGTTGACTTCCTAAACACACAATTCCCACGTGTTTTTTCTTTGCATTTAATGCACACATGATGGCATCATGAAACAGCACCCTCGGGTAAAATGTGTCCTCCATGACCTGGTCTCAAGACGACGTTTCCCTCGCATTAGAGAATAGCCTTTTTTTTTTTTTTTTTTTTTTAAACATGTTCGCTGATGCCAGCTGCTCAGCACCTTGGGCAAAAGAGCACAAAACAAATGTTGCGTAACCAACACCGCTGAATTACACAGAGTGGAAGCACCAGCGGTGGATTCTTGATGCCTTTCTCATGTAATTGTGATGTTGGACGGCATTTAGCTGCCAATTATGAAAGGAGGTTTTATCTATTCACAAAGGAGGCTTCCAGAAAGTTAACCTCTGTCTTAGTGGCATCGTCTGTTTTTTTTTTTTTTCGTTGTTTTCTCCATCAGGAAGTGACCCTTCTGTGTTCACCAATCAGCACGCTGCATTATCTACTTACCATGCTATTTTTCTACTCCCCAAGAGGGAAAATGCTAAAACTGTTAATAAGATGAAAGAATTAGTCAGATAGATGCAGGCTCATACACGTCCATATGAGTAATCGGTATCCTTGCAAGAACCTTCTTTCTTGTCATTTAATGAGGGTTATTATTATTTTCCCCCCCCAAGAGTATTCTAGCGGCTAAACAGCGACAATGTCCACTCCCGCCGGCTCAGGTCGTCAACGCCACGCTTGACAGATGGCAATTTTTCCCCCTCCATCAGCGGCGAGACGAGCGTCATTCCAGATAATTGGTTTTATCATAAGAGGCGTCCCGCAAGTCTGATGTGGCGGCTGGAGCGGCGACAGCTAATGAATGACTAGCATGTTAAGCTCCTCAAAACTAATCGAGTTTTAGCTATTCAAAGCTTGATTCGTGATATTTCAAATTTCCTCTGCCAGAGACTTATTTTTCTCTTAACTGGCTTGACGCCCCTGCAGAAAAAATTAACCTCTTCAATTCTGTTGGGGCTTAGCTAGAAAGATTGCCAAAATAATAATGCATCAAATTTATAGATCATCCTAACGCACTGCGCTATTTTGTTTTTATGACAATGTCACCTCAAGCATGAGGTTGAGATGTTAGATTCGCTTCCAACCAATGATGCATCCAATATTATTTTTTTTAATTCCAATGTTACCTTGAACGTTCGCTTTTGAAGTTAGCTTCCAACATTGCCAGGAATGTTGGAACGAACGAAGACTGATTACCTTCCAATGTTAGACTCTGATTAAGTTCCGATGTCAGCCTCAATGTTACCACCAATGTTCTACTTCCAAAGTTAGCTTCCAATATTCGAGGAAGACTCATGTTATCACTTGGCCTTGGCTCCAACACTGGCTGTCAGTGTTCGCTTTAACGTTTGGGTTTACCACCCTGCTTTCTGCTGCCCCAGCATCGAGACCTCGACGGGAATCTTCCGTTGAGGTCCCGTTTGCTGTCAATCTGGCTGGCTGACAGCTGGTGGCTATACTGAGCCTTTTGATTAGCACCGTGAGTTAATGTTAGGCATCCTCGGGTCCTTTGAAAGGCGCTGTATGAATTGACGCGAATAGTTGTGACATAATTTTTGGTCTGAGTATACGTGAGGTTTTCCATGCTGCCTGCGACTTGCTGCTCTTCAACAATCATATCGAGGCACCGGTGACATGGACACGTGTTCGGTCTTGATGCTCGCCGGGGTGCGCGCACTTACCAGGTCTTTAGATGTCCCCAGTCTCTTTAGACCGTCCAGGGGCAGCAGGTCAGCCGAGTCCTTGTGCGTGAACTGAGTGGCCTGCTTGAGACGGCGCTGCTGGTGCAGGATGGCTTTATCTCGGATGGCCAGCTCACCTTTTTTGGCCTCGCTCATGGTCTTTAAAACTGGAATCCCCCTCCTCGCAAAAAAGACACCAGAGATGTAGGAATGTGGCTCTTCAAGGAGAATAGCGTTGATTTTTCGTTTTGCTCCCGGATGATGGTCTGGTTTGGTCGAGCATCCTCCTGCGTGTTTTCCCGTCTATGCCTCCTTCCAAGTGGATTCTCCTCCCTCGCCCGCTTGCTTTCTCTCTTCCCTTGACACCCCTCCCCCCCTCCTCCTCTTGTCAGACGCCGGCGAAGAGCGAATGTTTGCTCACTTGTATCTGGCGTTTTGGTGGATGCTTGGTGATTAGCCCTCGCGGTCCCGCTGTGGAGGTGTGACCCACACAGCCTGAGCTGATCACTCATGCAGCAACGATTGTTTCAAATATGTCACACCGGGTCCCTTTCGCACCAGTAAATACTGAATGAAATGTCTGCGGTGACGCTAAGATGTATTTGTCAAGAATGACATCAATCTGGTGTGGAAATTTAACATAAATTCTTGAGGCATTTGAAAAGGTGAAAGTCGGTTGGATTTATGGGTGGTGTTTGGCGCCCTCTAACGGCCGTTTGTCGACACCGCATGCGTTTTTTTCAATTGGTCTGTTTTTCTCGCAAAATACGTTTTCGAATATTTGAAGCACTTTGGATGGATTTTTATTTCACTTTATTGTCATGAAAGTGTCAAACAAGCTTAAATAAGACATTTAAAGCATTCAACCCAAAATTATTAATTTATTCCACCGATTGGGGAGTGAAAAGCACCTTTGTTGAATCAACCAAAAAAGTCTACTTTAGCAACACCAAAGTAAAAAAAAAAAAATCAACCAAAAAAGTCTACTTTAGCAACACCAAAGGGGGGGAAAAAAAAAAAAACAGCAGTATGGTCATTGTGTGTTTTTTTTTGGGGTGGGATCAAGTTGAGAAGGCACATGTGTCATTAAATGATAAAAATGTCAGCTTGACTTCCATCACAGGAATGCTTTTTAAGGTTTGTAGTGAATATGTCTACATATACAGCATGCATATCAGTGCATTGCAACAATAACAACCATTCTGACCCTAACTGTTGGATGTGTTGTTTTTTTTTACATTGCTAACATGAGTTTCATCATCAATGTATGCTAACAATGTTAGTATTTCCCATGTTTTTGCTCATAGACCGCCCCCTGTTGGTCTGGCCTGTGAAATACAAAGTGCAGGATATCTCAATTCTGTAAGTGTGTTCAAACGAGCAACCTCGCAGTCTTGTCTCAGACGTTCCATCAGAGCACGTTGGGGAGGTAAAGCGAGCAAAGCAGCATGTTCTGTCCGAACGCCCGCAGGCGTCTGAAGGCCTCCCAGGCGTCGTTGAAAATGTTGTACTTGAGGAAGACGCGGTGCTCCATGCTGGTGGACAGCCCGATGTCGCGGCTCATAATGTAGATGCCGTCGTTGTGCAGCGCGCACGTCAGGTTAAGGCCCGACTTGGACGTGTTCTCCTTGAGCTGCAGCCACTCTCCGGCGGTGACGT